TAGAATCATAGAGACTGATGTGGACACTGGCCCACAGTGTCCATGTCATTTGGATGAAATGAGACAATCACACAATTTCCCTTCTCTCAAGGGGAGCAAAAGCTGTGGCTCTTGCTGTGACTGGCCTTTATTGGGTTTCTCCACACATTACTTGATGGTCCTCATTTACTATGCACAGGTTGCTTTAGGTGGTTACCGTTTACAGAAAACAAAGGAGTCAATGCCGCTAATCACATCACAGAAGAGGGATATTTGCAAATGAAAAGGGCAAAAGTGGTTGAACCTATTACACTCATCCTTGGAAGGTTTAGCATGGAATTTAGGAAGTTACTTTGCAGTAAATGTTTGCCGCTGGGGGCTGGGCCCACGCCTTGCAGAATGGTCTCCTACAGAGACCATAGTAATGGTTTTCAAATAATTAAAATTTGAGGAGGGCTTCTTTTTTCCACATGATTTAATTTTTATATAACTTGCCATTTTTTTGCAAAATTATTAAAATATATTACTATAGATCCAATCCCTTTAAACATAGGAATTATAATCTTATTAAAACTAATTAAGTACTGAATTGGCTATTTAAGAATATAATTTGACCATTCTTAAAAAGAACTCTATTGTGTATTTCTTTTTTGTTTGTTTGTTTTTTAAAAAATTATTTTATTGGCATGGCTGGTGTAGCTCAGTGAATTGAGTGCAGGCTGCGAACCAAAGGATCGTTGGTTCGATTCCCAGTCAGGGCACATGACTGGGTTGCGGGCCAGGTCCCCAGTGGGGAGATGTTCGAGAGACAACCACACATTGATGTTTCTCTCCTTCTCTTTCTCCTTCCCCTTCTCTTCTCTCTCTAAAAAATAAGTAAATGAAATCTTAAAAAAAAATTATTGTTCAATTACAGTTGTCTACATTTTCCCCCCTCACTCTCCCCCGCCCCAGCCAAACCTGACTCCTTCCTTTGCTTCCACCTCAACCCCTTGGTTTTGTCCACGTGTCCTTTATAGTAGTTCCTGAAAACTCTACCCCTCATTTTCCCCTTTCCTGCTCCCCTCTGCTTATTGTCAGATTGTTCTTAATTTCACTGTCTCTGGTTATATTTTGCTTGCTTGTTTGTTTTGTTGATTAGGTTTCAGTTAAAGATGAGATCATATGGTATTTCTCCTTTACTACCTGGCTTATTTCACTTAGCCTAATACTCTCCAGTTCCAACCATGTTGTTGCAAAGGGTAGGAGCTCCTTCTTTCTCTCTGCTGCATAGTATTCCATTGTGTAAATGTACCATAGTTTTTTGATACATTCATTTACTGGTGGGCACTTAGGTTGTATATTTCTTAAAAGCTGAATGAAGCTAAATAAGAACCAAACTAGAGATAGGCTCAGTTAATAGCGATCATGAACCATTGATAGGTATACACTATGGGAAAAGATCTGTTGGCATATCAGTGACTTAAAAAAAACGTATCTAATCAATCAAATGCTAATCACTATTATGAATCACCTTTTGAGTCACTGTACTATGACTGTGTATAGAAACTGGTATGACGGAATTTTATCTCAACTAATTAACTATTAGCCAGTTGATTAATATTCTGGTTAGAGAAAACCCAGATATGTAGCATGGAAGATTTTTCCGTATGCTTTCTCTGCAATAAAAAAATGTTTGAAACTATTCTGATTATAAAACCAAGCCCTTGCCAGTAAACCTACATAAATATCCATAGAAGTGACCAAAATGTTATTATAGAAGTGATTAATCCTAGGCAAGTTTGTAAGGCTTGCATTTTCCTTGCAATATGAATACCAGAATTTTTAGCTCATTTGAGAGTTATAAATTCTCCAGGAGTTTGTAAATATACACTGTTTATTCTTGCTCCACAGCTTTGGAGACTGATTCTTATGCTAAAACTGAGTTTTGCATTCTGTTAGTGTGTTCTAAGCACAGCAACTTCTAGTTTAAGTTTGGAGTTAAAATTGACAGCTATCATTGTCATTTTCTCTTGTCCTCTTTTACTGAAACTATTCTTCAGTTAAGAGCCTTAACTTTCTCGGGGTCAATTTTAAAACTATTCATATCAATATATAACATTTACCATATAGGTATTAATTATGAAGTACTTCTTTTAATTATTTCATAATTTTTCTCTTCAATTCAGTATAATATAAAAGGAGGCCAAAGTCTACAAAACCGGGAAAAACGTTTTAAGAAGTTTATTTCCAATAATCCAGGACCAGCAAACTATGATCTGTCTTGTCTTGGAACATTAAATATCGTGAAGAAAAAAGTACTAGAGGCTAAAGAGCATCTTCAATCAGTAGGTTGCAATTTTAAAGTATACTTCTAACGACATTCAATTTAGTTAAAGAAGAAAGGGTTCAGTGATTTCTGTGATAAGTACATTTAAAAAGACTTACTATAAAAATTAGTAGCCTCATTAGTATCTATATTGTAGTTATTTAGAGTTAAATGACTACTTGATTTTATAAGCTTGAGTTTTAAACTGTGTTACTATCTGACTTCTTTTTTGCTTTTGAAAAATCTGTAGTCACTTCTAAAATCCATGGTGTACAGAAAGTAAGGGAGATTTTAAAAACTGCCTGAATGTTTATATATGAGAGGAAATTCTGTGAAAGTAGTTAATAAAACAGTGAAATTTAAAACATGATTCCTGAAATAAAAGCTTAAAATTTAGATGGGAGAGATATATAGGGAACTATTAAGGCAGGATTAAATCTGACAAGTGCTAAGTGAATGACCTTGTAATTAAATGCCATAGGAATTTAAAGGAGGACTACTGTATTATGGGGAAGTTGAATTTATAGAGGACTTAAAGGGGAGGTTAGCTTTGAAGAATACACATTTAGGCGTGGATCGCTAAGTGAGTGAAGATAGAGAGGTAGGATCTTATGGAAGACAGTGAGAAGGTTGTTTGACTGGAATGAGGAATTTGTGTAGGGGACCAGCAGGTAATATGTTTGAAAAGCTGCGCTGGTGTTATATAAATGAATAATTTTTACATCGAAGGCCTACCCCTTTAAAATAAATAATATAATCTAGACAATTTTGGTCATGGTTTCTTTTTCCCTCTTGTCTTGCCATAACTCTTTCACGTAGCTTATATTAATTAATTTGAATTAGTTTTCTGTGTGTTTAGGAGGATATATTTTAGGGTTCAGTACTCAGCTGAATAATGTCAGTGCAATTACAATGAGGTTAAGTTTTGTAAGTGTATTTAAATGCCAGCTGTTTCATGTGTGGGGACACTTAAATGTTTATTTGGTCATGCAAGGGTTTATCAGACATGTTTTGAGTGACTATGTGTATCAGACATAATCCAGGCACTGATAATATATAGGAGACAAATCACTGCTCCCTGGGTTCTACAATTTTAACAAGAAAGCAGTGAATGAAATTCAATATAAAAATTTGATGAATGATATCTTTTTTTAAAACATTTTATTTATTTATTAATTTTTAGAGAGAAGGGAAGGAGAGGAGAGAAATATCAATGTATGGTTGCCTTTCATGAGTCCCCTGCTGGGACCTGGCCTGCAACCCAGGCATGTGCCCTGACTGGGAATCAAACCGCGATTCTGTGGTTTGCAGGCCCGTGCTCAATCCACTGAGCTATACCAGCCAGGGCCTGATGAATGATATCTTAATAAACATCTACCATAATAAAATATTTGCTAGCAGCCCAAAAAGAGAGTTTTTGGAGGGAATATGGATATTATAGTTGAACTGTCTCTTTATAGATTCACCAAGTAGTTAAAAAGAATCAGAAATAAACTCTTTGGAAGAGAAAACCATATAAATGAAACTTTGTGGTATTTAATGGCATGGTATGTTCAGAGAACAAAGTTCTTTGGAATACTTGGAGTACAGGATTGAAGGGAGAGTAGTAGGAGTAGAGGCTGGAGAGGATGTAGGGGCTGTATTTTAGAAAGTCTTGACGTCATGCAAATGACCTTTGAGAGTAGTGAGTAGGGGAAGCCATTCAGTACTTTCCTGCTTTAATTTGGTAGTCTGTCTCATTAAGTATCACTGAAACTACTTAATAGTCTTAGTGATAAAAAAAAGATTCAGCCAGTGATAGTATGTTTATAATATAATTATATATTGATCATGTGTACACCAACTAGAAAATGTATTTTTATATTTATTTAGAAACTATACAGGATCAATATATTCCTAATAATGAGTTCTCTAGGTAACTAAATCATTTAAATGTCTGCATTTTGATATATTTTATACTAATATTTTTAATACATGATATTCCTTGTTTTTATTTACTAATAAGTTATAATTTTTTTATTAAAGGAAATTTTGAAAAAGGATAATTACCCTAAAACTCCAGACTGTAACACTGATATTCTGTTAATTTTTGCATAGCTACTCCCTGTATTAAATCATGTTACATTATGAATTTATTATACACATATATAATTTCACATAACTTACATAGCTATAGTCATAATTCAACTTTATACTTTTTTCCCATTTAGTATTATGTCATAGACATTTTTCTTGCTAATAGTCTGCATAATTAGGATATTTATAAGGGGGGCCAGTATGATGGATATAAGTCAGGAGCTGGGAAGGAATGAAGTTGGGAAATGTTACAGAAAATAAGTTTGTTTTCTCCCAGCAGATAGTATGATAGCACAGCACGAGTGATGTTGATTGTTGATGTGACTATAGGAATGAACGTCTCTTTTTATTGCCTGCTTTACTAAGCAAGATAAATAGCCGAGTCAAGTGAAAGAGACTCCTCGTCTCTGAAGGTGGCTGTAATAGCAATGGTATGTGTTTTCTTGGTTTGTATGATGATGTGAGGCTTGAATCCACTCCCTTAGATTGCTTTTATAGATCAGAAACATTTTTGATTTAGATTGTGTAACTCATTAAGTCAATATTTAATAGTTGCCTTTTAATAAATTTTAATATTTGGTTCTTCATTCCTACTCCTCTTGCCTTTGAGTAAATAATACAAAATGTTTTCTTACAGAAAATTTCAAGGTCACCTTCAGTTTCCAGAAGTGTTCATGTTCCTTCGATTCCTTCCTGTGGACAGTCATATGGTTATGATATTAATGATGATGACAGTATTATAAGACAGTTTCCACCCGCTAGTGATAGCACACTAGGTCCAGCGTACTATAAACCTCAATTTGTAAGTATAAAGCATTTCCTATTGACAATTGGAAAGTTATTTATGATTATGCATGTCTAGTCATATAACACTAACTGTGATAACAAATAGACCCCCAAATCTTAGTGGATTAAGACAATAGAAATTATTTTTTCCTCGATTATATGGGTAATCCTTGTTAGGAGATTTTCTTTCAAGTAGAGATTCAGGGACACAGGCTTGTTCCATTTGTGTAACTGTCATTCCCTGGGGCTTTGTCATCTGCACCCAGAAGGGCACAGAGAGTGGAGGACTGCAAGTGGGAAGTTTCTGTGGGGCAGGCCTGAGTGTGGAAGCTTTGTTACCTGGACACACTTAACTGTCAAAGAGGCTGGGGCATAAAGTATTAATCAAGAGAGAAGAGAAAATAGGTTTAACCCACTAGAAGTCACTTCTATAAACTATAATCATATGCAACACACAGATATTCTTTCCTTAAATTTGAAAGTAAAAAAGAGCATTTTATTTGAAAAGAATTTGAATCTATTATTTATTTTATAAATAATTATAAAAAAGATAAGGAACTTCTTGGATTAAAATATCAAGCATAATATATCAGATTCATCTCATCCATGTTTAAATTTCACACCTGGTTGGAGTTCAAGGAAGATTTCATTCAGCCAGTTGAAGTGTATGAGTTATCGATGAATAAATATAATAAGATGGATGATATGTCTGGTTTTGCTTAATTAGAAGAAAGAAATATATAGCACTTTGAACCTGTTGTATTTTCATACTTTTATGAGATCTGGAAGAAGTAATCCTAGTGGGAAAAGTGGCAAAAATCAAGTGCAGACTTAAGGCAGAAGAAACACCTTGTGCCAAGAATAGCTACTTTCAGGATTTGGCTTGATCTTCACTACCAGTAGTTTTTGTTTGGTCAAGTCTCCAACTTTGGGCTTAGTTAGGCTTAAGCACCTTCGGAAACCATCTGGTTTGTGGCAGTAGGCATACAAAGGTATTCTTGGGTCTTAGATCCTTTGATTTGCTTAAAGTTTTTTTCTTAAAATATTTTATTGTAATTTATATGATTACACATTTAATAGTACACACATAATAAAAGATACCACATACACTCCATCCCATATAACACATAATATTTTATTGCATTTGAATTAGATATATTTTAAAATAAATATAATTATTACCTTTCCTAATTTTTCTCCCTTCATTCCTTTCCTTTCATTAAACACTAAATTTTTATTACATACATGTATAACTCCATATTGTCGTATGATTTAAAAATATGACTAAATGATATTATCTGGTATATAGGTAGCTTACTGTTTCACTTAATGTTATATTTTTTAGTTTTAACCATATATATGTATTAGATCTAATCCATTTATCATTTCCAGAAAATAAGTTTCTTTTTAAAAAATAATTTCTATTTTAAAATAGTTTTAGACTGATATAAAAGTTACAAGCATAATACAAAAAATTCTCATATACCATTCACTCATATCCTGCAGTTAATACTGTATTGCATTTGCTTTAGTATTTTATCTCTTTATACATTTATATTATTATTTTTATTAAGAAATTAGAGAGTACATTTAAGATATTATGCTTCTTTATCTCTAAATACTTCAATGTAAATCTCTCAAGAACAAGACATTTTCTTTTATAACTACAATACAATTATCAAAAGCAGGGAATTTTTATTCATATAATATTATTATCTAATTTATGGATTTTTTTGGAAAATATTGCTAATTACCTCAATGATCTTACAATTGTTTTTGTCCAGATTCCAGTTAGGAACAGTTCTTCAGTCTTTGTCTTTTGTAACCTTACATTTTTGAAGAGTACGAGCTATTTATTTTGTAGACTATGTCTCAATTCGGAGGCTGTGTAGAGGTCTGTCCAGAAACATCCAGCCATTGTTAATATAGCAAGAATGGTTTATAGGACACTGATGTAACCTGGCAGCCAAGGAGAGTTGTCTGGAATGTGCATGTGTGAACAATGAAGACTTCACTGTACTAGTCGGTGGGGGCTGTAGACACCACTGAGTGTGCATGTGTACTGTGTGACTGTCGCATTCAAAATGACTGAGCAAGTAGAGCAATAAATATGCATAAAATTTTGCGTTAAGCTTGAACATGCCTTTGAGGAAACTATTTGGATGATACAGAAGGCTGCAGCTACAGGCAACTAGTGACTGGCAGCTTCATCACAACAATGAACTCTGCAATGCTGAGTTCTTTGGTGAAACATCAATTCACCCAGGTAAATCACCCTACAGCCCAAATTTGGCACCCTGTGACTGCTGGCTTTTCTTAAAACTGAAATCACCTTCGGAAGGGAATAGATTTCAGACTGTCGATGAGATTCAGAAAAATATGACAGGGCAGCTGATGGTGATTGGGAGAACTGTGTGAGGTCCCGAAGTACGTACTTTGAAGGGGACTGAGGCATCTTTGTCCCATGTACAGTGTTTCGTGTATCTTGTATCTTCTTCAATAAATGTCTCTATCATTCATAGTACGTGGCTGGATACCTTCTGGACAGACCTTGTATTTTCTCATGATTAGAATAAGTTTATATATTTTGGCAGAAATACTATAGAAACAATGTATTCTCAGTGTATGACATAAAAAGCACAGGATGTCTATCTTGTAACTGGCATTATTTATTTGAAGTGGTGTGTTCCAGTTTTATTTACTATAAAGTTACTATTTAAAAATATTTATAAATATTATAGGAGCGTTACTTTAAGAATAGGTAAATATTTTATTCTTGATCAAATTGACTAATATAACATCCATTGATGATACCTGAATCAGTTTTATTGTGATGTTTATCAAATGGTAATTTTCTAAACTTCATCTTTTTCTCATTTATTTGTTGGCACTTGACTATAATGACGAACTTTATCTTCTTTCTCATTTATGTATTATGAGTATGGATTCAGAATTCTTATTTTACTCAAAGGGTTATAATTTATTATTTGTTATTTATTTTGAGATTAAATTACCTCAGGTTTGTCTTTTGGAAGCCCTTTCAAACCGCTTCTTGTGTCTTTTTTGACACGTTGCCATCATTCTTTGTGCATTTCCTTACCTTCTGGCACAATAAGACATTTCGGGTTCACCTCGCTTTCTTCCCTGTGCCAGCCTTGGAATCAGCCATTTCTTCAAAAAGCCCTACGCCCACTTAGGAGAAAATGCTTTTTCCAAAAAAGATCAGTGCACCACGTACATGCATTGCTACTGGGTTGTCAATTTTTTTAGGACAAATTTACAAATATATTAGAATATATTTCTTTTCTGTTTGTTAAAACGTTGAGTTTATACTGATATCTCCAATTCCAATTCGACACCACAGGTTTTTTCTAGTCTTTCCTTTTTCATATTAAAATTCACTTCTCCCACAATGAGAACGCTGGCTCCCCTTATCCTCAGTATATTTACTTATTTGCTTAATCCTATAGATCTCTGACAGTAGTTACAGAATTACTAACCCATCCTGCAAAAACTCTTACCTCTATGTGACCTTGAGGCTTTACACAAGCAGGAAGTGAAAGCGAAGACAAACTTTAAAGGCCTACATGAGTGTTAAAGGTGTACCTCAATGCATACACAGAGCACCTATGCAAAGGTTGGAAATTTATTGGTTCAAGGCATTTAAGGATACCTCTCTCCAAGTATTACGTGGCTATTCAGCTAACCAGTCTGAGGCTTCAGTGGTCACACATGATGAGTACAGAATTTAAAGAATTAGTCCAGGAAAATCACTGAACACATGAATAAACTGCCCCCTGCCCCCCCAAACTTCTTGGAGTAAGGAAGATTCTCATTTTCAGAGTTGCCACACTCTATCATTTAAAATGTTCAGTATTCAACAAAAATTATGAGACATGCAAGGAATAACAACAAAATAATGGTTTAAAAATTCTATCATTACTCTTAGACCTCAAAATGTTACACTTGCTTTAAAATTATATTTTTATATATAATGTTTCTTCATTTTGAAATAATATATCATGCATCAGAAGGCCAGAATAAAGCCTGCATGCTTCCCCGGATGTACAAAACCTTTTCACATATGGATAAACATTAGTTTGACATGTAACATTTGGTTTCATCCTGGCTAAATTATTATTAATAGAAGACAAAATAAAAAAGTTATTCATAATTTCAATAAGTCCAATTTTTTAATGACTTATTTTAGTAATTATTGAGTCAATACAACTTGTATTTATTAGAATAAAAATCTAGATCTAATTTAAGAAAACATTAAAATAGATTTATACATAAAAGACTAAGTTCTTAGTCTTTAGACTAAGTTCACAAGAAGATTCAGTAAAATTTAACTTGAATTGAATTGTTTTCTGAAATCTCCAGTTTGAATTTGAGAAATCTAGAGATAAGATGTCAAACTCTGTGGCTGAAATCTTAATTTTCTTGTTCTTCCAGAAAGAAAAATGCTACAGGTTTCTCACAGACAACTATGAAGTTGATAGTATAGTGGTGTTAATTCAAATCTTAACCAAATTTCTGGTAATGCAGTTTTTAAGCTGCTTTTTGAGATAATACTATGTACGTACCGGCTCAGTTTCCAGATGTGACTGTTAATAGAAAGTTAATATAATAATCCAATAGTTGGGTGATTATTGTGGTTCTTCCCTGGACTGGTGAATAACATCTGCTGAAGCTATCTTATATAGCTTGTAAACAGAGGCAACTCTGAAACGGAGAGTTCTGTAAGACTCTAGCCAACAACGGATGTTTTAGCTATATTTAATATGTAAAGAGAAATTTTATATATAAATTATTTTGTATAACACTTTGAATTATAACTTTAGCTTCTCTCTGTTTTTTTAGAAGAGCTCAGGTAATCATTAGACATTTAATTTTCAGAGATGGATTCCACAAGCAAAGTTTGCAGTTGGAAGTACGACACTGACATATTTGCTAATGATAACATGCTGGGAACTTACCTGTGTGCGGTGATGTGGGAAGGCAGTCTGTTAGTGTTTAAATTGATGTACTTTGGGGCTTTTAATCCTTTGTTAATTATATTTTCATCCTTAATTATGGAAACGACTTGGGGAAAAATTGCATAGCCACTTCTTCATTTATTTCATTTTCATTGTGAATGACAGTTAGTAATTCTTCTTCTAGTTACTTTACAACATTCATTTAAAATAATGCAGCTCCATGCTGTTTGCTTCAATTAAGCCATATTTTATTTACTAATGATTTTACAAGTTGACAATGACCTTGACATTTGTATTGTCAACACATCTTGACATAAAATAAGTATGATTTAGAGTTGAGTGCATCAATTTATTTTTCATGTTTTTACTGTATGCTTAAAAGTTTTTAAAATTAATTTTAGATTGAATATTTACCTGTGTACTGCTGAGGTTAATGAGTTAAGTGCTTGTTGATTCTAATGGTTTAAATAGAACAAATTTTAGCATATACACAGGAAAAGGATTTTGCTAGTGTCTTGAATGGTGTGTGTGTATTCATAATCTTTCCTTCTACTGGATTACTTTAAGAATTGTTAACAGTTGAACCACAACATCACAAATGTGATTTAACCTAGAAAGCTTCTTGGGCATAATTTTGTCATTAAGAAACCTTAATACGTATTTTTAGCCTATAAACATATGATGTAAAAGATGATTTATCAAAGTGTTCTGTTTTAAAATAAGGTTTTTAAATCTATAGGCCATAGTGAATCAGTATATTAGATATGCTTCTCCCTGAAAAATATAAAATATCTAATATACCTAACATGTCTATATTATATGAGAACAGACTTCCACATTTGTGTACTTCACTAGTGATTATGCCTAAAGTCTGGGCAATTATGAAATTCTGCTTCATTTCTAAGTAAAAATAAAATACAATATGAATGAGTAATTTTGCTCATTCTGCCATTAAAACTGTATATGTACTTTAAAATCCATGGCCGTATGAGGTAATTCCATTTGAAAGATGGGCTAGAACATTAACAAAAATGTATTGTGTGGCTTGACATTTTTCCTGAAGCTCTACAGGGTGCAGCAGTTTTGGTGTTACCACTGTCCCAACAGAACAGGCTACTTTTCAGCTGCTCTAGTGGATGCTGTGGTTTCTCCAAATACTTCCCTACTATCATCTGCTGCTCTGCTGGACTTGTCGGGCTGTGGCATTTTTTCTTTGCTGCTTTGCTAGGTGTTACAGCTTTTGTCTCTGCACTCCAGACCCAAAGCCTTTGGATGATATGACTGCCTTATTTATACTATATGTGTTGTAGAGATTAGTGGGATAGTTCCTTCCATTTTTATTCATAGCTATGATTTTTCTAAGACTGACAGGGGTTAGGCTGAGAATCATGTTATCAGCTAGAAAACCTGCTTATAAGAGTAATAGTAATGCCACTACTATTAATAGTGCTACTAAAACATTACTGCTAATAACAGTGCTTTTAAAAATTAATTTATTATTATTTTTTATTAAAGACCATTGAATTTTATTGTTGTTCAAGTACAGTTTTCTGCCTCCCCCCAACCCCTCCCCACCACCCCAGCCATCTCTACCTCCCTCCCCTTTTTCTACCCCCCTTGCTTTTGTCCATGTGTCCTATATAGTTATTCCTGTAATCTCTTTAACCCTTTGCCCCCATTATTCTCCCCCCTTCCCTCTGGTTACTGTCAGTTTGTTTTTAATTTCAAAGTCTTTGGTTATATTTTGCTTGCTTGTTTGTTTTATTGATTAGATTCCTCCTGTTAATGGTGAGATCATATGGTATTTGTCTTTCACTGCCTGGCTTGTTTCACTTAGTATAATACTCCCCAGTTCCATCCATGCTGCCACAAAAGGTAGGAGCTCCTTCTTTCTTTCTGCTGCATAGAATTCCAATGTGTAAATGCACTATAATTTTTTGATCCAATGTTCATAGCAGCACGATTTACAATAACCAATTGCTGGAAGCAACTTACGTGCCCATCAGGAAATGAATGGATCAAAAAACTAATAGTGCTTCATAGTGTGGTAGCTTCATAGTGTGTTAAAGCTAAACATTTGAAGTGAAAATACCTTCCTGCTCTGTGTGTTATAATTCACTGGAACGAATTTGCATATCAATAATCTAAGCACTTTGAGACCACTTACAGTGCTGGAAAAATTCCTAGTGGAAATAAGGATTAATTCTTATTATTTATGTAACAAGTTTTCCCAGGCTTCATTAGATTGTGGTATAAAGAGAGTCACGGTTACATTCATAACTCAAATATATGTATGTTGTCTCTAATTGATGTAGGGGACCTCTAGCCTTCTGCAAAGTCCCACTTTCCAGGTGTTTCTTAGCAGCTCTCAGGGGCCGTCTCAACCTTGTGCCTGAACAAGTCTGTTTCCACTGAGACAGCTACTGCTCCACCAGACCTGTCAGTCTCTTGCCAGATGGTGCTCTCTGCTGGGCTTTTCCACCAAAATACTTTATCTAAAGCTTGTTTGCTGAGCTGGGGGAAGTAGGTGGGATAATGCTCTTCTTTCTTTGTGTATTTGTATTCTTTATTAGAATGGTCCATATGCAGCACAGATGTTTACCGGAGTTTTTATGAGACTGGTCTTTTACGTTTTTATCATAGCCCCTTTGCACTCTATAGGATGCAGGCATAAACCCACCAGGGACTGTCTCTTAGGAGGGAAATTTATTCAACAGAAACACTCAGTAATTTCATTGCCACTCTTGATGCTTAAGATTTTCTTCCTGGTGAGAGTCATCATGATTAGCTCCTTCCCATATAATTACTTTCACATTCACCTTGGGGCTGGTTTGCTCTTATTTGTTCACCAGACATTCCTAGATGTCTGAATCTTACTTGGATATACAGCTGGTAACTCCCTGGTTCTCTCAGCTCAAACATCCGCCACCACCGTAAGCAAGGAACAAGCAACAGGATTTATTAAAACCAAATCAGGAGCACCCTTTAGAAAAACTATAATTCCATTTCTCTATGAGATTGCATCTATGGAAAAAGAATAAAAAAAGTCCCGTTTCACTTCGTGCAAATCACAGTTCTGTCAGCCATTGTGTTGGCCCCTGTTTAATTCTTAAAGATCGGGAGGGTGTTGAAGGGAAAGTTTAATTTTTTGTGTGTTCATATATTATAATATCTGAGGGCTGGTTGTTAGTGGTACATTCTACAAAGTAAAAGGTGTTTTCACATAGTGGGGAATTTTTAGTGCTGCTTCAGCTTTAGTTTGGATTTTGTTGTGGCAGCCCAGAGCTTTCTGGAATGGTGCTTTCCTTACTAGAAAATCTGTCTTTGTTAGGGGCTAATGGCAACGCTTCCAATTATTTTCAACTGTGCATGCCAGGGATAGAGTGGGTGCTAGCACTGCCTTTCATGACTTCACGTAATGGCACTAGCACAGATCTCCAAGGGTATGGTAGCTCTGAGAATTGCTCCCTACTCTCTACCCAAAAGCCCATCCTTATTTCCAGTCTTTGTCTTTCTGGGGACATTAAGAGGGTTCAGTTGAGGTTCTTGCCATATGCAGTGAGGTTTTTTTTCTGGTTCTAGTTTCTATAATTTTCAGAAAATTCCCCCCAATTTAAAATGCAAATGATACCTTCTGTGAGTGGGTAGCACTGATAATTTGTGTCTGTTTTATATACTTCTTTTGAAATTTTGGTGGGAATGGGGCAGATATGGGTTTAAATAGCCATTTAAAACTGGGATTATTTTTTAAATCATAAATATTACTATTTATTCTATAATTAATTATAATGGTCACAGAGATTGAGTCCACTCTTCTATAATTGTTAATAGTCACCTAGAACAATTGACATAGTGTTTTATGCAGTTAAACTATAAGTTTATATTATGGAGATTTTATTCAGTATTTCATATAGGGAATATTTAATAATTCAAGCTCATTTTAAAGTTATTTTTATAGGTATAAATTAAAAATAAATTAAATTAATTGAAGTTCACTTTTTACTATTAGTTAAAAAATTGAGTTTTTAAACTGTTCTTAAATGATTGCTCAATTTAGAAGGTATTAGGACAACAGAAGAGAATTCCTATAAGAGAAGCTACTGTTCTTGTATTATACTTTTTTTATTTTATTAGATTTTATCAAAACTACATGCTTTCACTTCTCTAAAGTGAACTTTTAAAGGAATGGGTCATGCTTAATTTTAATATCTATTATAGTAGATGTAATGAAAAGGTAATTGTTGATTTCTTATGTCACAAACAATTTCTTTGGCATTAAAAGACTGATCTTGATCTTAAGCGTTGATAATAAAATGAAACGGGGGCGGTGTTTGTATTATTGTCATGTATTTGTCACTTCTTCAAAACTTTACATGAATATGTTATAATCTTAAATACCAGGTCATTAGAAGTTATTTAATATCTGTTGCTGATGTTTGAATTTTAATTTAATTTCTTGAAGTTAATATAATTTCTATTTAATTAAGGTCATTTTTAAATAGGCTTTCCCATTCCCTAAATCATATACTTCTGCTGCCTCCTTCCTTTTTTAAATTCCAAAAAGGTCATTTTCTTTGCCATTAAGGCTTTTTGCTGCTGAACGTGCTGCCGAGGACACAGCTGTTCTTGCTGGTTGAGGGCATGCTGAAACGAGAGGCCCTTCTCTAGGAGCGCACGGGCTGACTCGGGCGTGGGACGCGCACAGCAGTAATAACTTTCCTTGCGATCATCATTTCCTGATGAAACCTCCTTGGCTAAGGTTATCCTTGCTTTAGCTTTAGACTTACACAAAGTTAAAAATTATTTCATGACTTACTTAAACTATATCTCATCTTCACCTTTTTTTTTTAATAGGGTTTTTCCAGTGCAACTTTAAAATACAAGGGAATACACTTTGGCAACTCTTTTCGAAGACTCGAGTTACCTATAAAGTCAGGGCCTGGTCCTGGAGAGTATGATATAGTTCAGTAAGTAAAAAAAAAAAAAGTATACCTTTAATGTAGTTTTTGACATAAAGTATTCTAATAATTTAGACTAGCCTATGCTATTATAAATGAAAAACCAATATAAAAGTTCCAAGAAGTATCATATTTCGGAACAACCTATATGAAAGCTCTTATTTTTTGTGAGCCTGAGCCTGTCTACCCTGCTTTGCATGCGTCACCTCATTTAGTCTTCACAAGTCTGTGTACTTACACTTTGTTATGCTTATTTCGTCAGTGACACATGCAAAAGTCAAAAAGAATAAATAACATCACGCATCTAAGTGCTAAAATATACTGTCTTTAATTATAAAACAATCAAAAGATCAGGGATAATATTTAATAAGTGTACTCAGGATTCTTCCTTTTGTCCCTGGCTCTGGTGTTTATTCTTCTGACTACATGATAGAGTTAGAAGGTATTCTAAGTTTGGATAAGAGCCATAACAATAGGCTTGAGATAATATTAATGAAATTTAACTAGGAAATACATTTCTGGTAAAATAACTGTCTTCACTTTCTCCTACTTTTATAGTAGGAGAAGGCTCTTAGACAAGGGTCAATGGAAGACAAAACTGAGTAACAAATACCATATCGTCCTCAGAATCTACCATTCATTTTCATCATTAATTTCTTTAACAGGGTTCATGTTATCTGCCTTATTCTTTTTCTATCATAGAATGAGTTTTCTCATAAGGAGTCCCACAGTGATTACCTATCCAATTAGTCTGGTAGGCAGATTCAGATACATCTATATACCAGTGGCAGATATAGCTCAGACTTTTGTTGGATACTTCCATGATTTACTCATTGAACAAACGTTGTTTGAATTCTTGCTATGTGCTGGTACTAAACTTAGTGACGGAGAATAAAAAGAATAAAACATGGTCCTTGTTTTGGGGAATTTATACCCTATTGTCCTTTTCACTCTCCTAATATGGGATATATACTTTGTATTTTTATTCTTTCAGTAGTTACACTAGAAATTTAACATGTATATTTAGCCTAATGAGGTCTAAACTTACTATCTTTGTCATTCTTGCAAAGAAAACTAAGTCTACCAAATGCTTTAACTCTGCTCATTCCCATGACATATGCATTTATTATTCAGTATTCTAATCTTACCCTCATTTCCTTCCAATTTGGTTGGTTTGCTTATCTATGCATCTCTTTATCTGCCTGCCTCCCTGACCACTTTTACTGAGGTTTAATTGACATAAAGCAAGATTAACCTTTTGTAAGCTATGTAGTTCTCGAACAATTGTTTTTCATCCATTCCACTACACTTCTACGTATCAGGTGTAACCTGGACTCTATCTGGTTACGTTCTGATTTTGTGTGGTAGTATTTTTTAAAAATTGTTTCATTGTGTTTTCCCATTACCATTTAGTCCCCTTAAATCTCCCTCCTCCCTACAATCACCACACTGTTGTCCATGTCCATGAGTCCTTTTTCCTTTTTGCTCAGTCCCTCCACCTCCTATAACCTGCCCCTCTGCCACACACTAGTTGACATCTGCTCTCCACCTAGGAGTCTGTCTCTATTTTGCTTGTTAGTAGAGTTTGTTCATTAGATTCCACATGTGAGTGAAATCATGGGGCATCTGTCTTTCTCTGCCTGGCTTATTTCACTTAACATAATGTTCTCCAGGGCCATCCATACTCTCACAAAGGGTAAAACATTCTTCTTTTTTACAGCTGAGTCATAATCCATTGTGTAAATGTCCCATAGTTGTTTTATAAACTCATCTACTGATGGATACTCGGGTAGCATTTTTATAACAGCTTTTTTTATTTCTCCAACCTTGTCCCACTCCCATTTTTTAATGTTACTTTTTCTTTGATCTTTGTTTTTTTCCCCTGCTTCTTCTCTTCTTCAATTTGTGTTTTTACTTTTGCTTCTGGGACTGTGTCCAGACAGCTCCCATTCCAGACTACTGTTATTACCATTTCCATATTTGTCCTTTGGTTTAGATACTTCCCTGTATCTTTTCTATGAGGTTGTCTTCATTTCTTCTGGTGGCTGAAATTTTCTACCCTTTTTTGGCTTTTGTTTTATTGGGTCAGGTCAGAATTATTCTGGGAGATTTGATACAGTATAAATTGGAGAGGCTTGGCCACTATAAATAGAAAGATGAGCTCACAGGTCTCTGTTTAGGAAAGGCAGACCTAAATAATATGTGACTCTTCTGATGCCTCAAATATAAATTTGTGATCTATAAAACTATTTAAAGTTTTGAAAACAAGTTCATTTATTGAATTTTGTATAAAAATGGATGAAGTCAGCATTTAACAGTGAACTGATATATTAAATGCATATTTAAATTATAGCAATGTCAAAGAAAATTAGTTATATACTTAAGCATTTGTTTTATGCTTTTCTATTATCTGCTTTTTAATCTTATCTTCTGGTTAGTTCACTTGAAGTGCATCCTATGGGATTAAAAATTTTGTTTAATAATAAATAGGATAAAATAGTAGTATAGTCAGTATAGCTATAGTACTTGTAATAATAATAGCTAGTAGTTATTATGTACTTATTATGGGTATGTAAGGCATTAAGCACTTTTATCTATTATCTACTTTAATCATTACAACCTTAAAAATTGTTTGTTACTATTTCCAGTTGGGTGGTGGATCTCATCTGACCACTTAGAGAAATTAGGTGATTCATTTAAGGTTACGCAGCTAGTAGATAGCAATGCTGGGATTCACATCAGGCTGTCTGCCTCCAAACCTTGGGCTTTTAATCACCGTTTACTTGGTTTCTTATTCTTTCTTGAGGTTGTGTAAATTTCAAAGATAATAAACTTCCCTTTTATTTTCAAAGATCTTTCTTTATGATCCTGTCTAGATTTTATGATATAAATACCACAGGATTATTTTTCCTATTATTTTAGTGATAATTGAAATACTAAGGAATATGAAATTTTAAAGATTTAAAAAATCATAAATAGAATACACACGAAATTTTTTTAGTAGCTTTTAATTTAAACTTATGACATAAATTCCACATCCTAACCCTGGCTGGTGTAGCTCAGTGGATTGAGTGCAGGCCGTGAACCAGAGTATCGCGGTTCCATTCCCAGTCAGGGCACATGCCTGGGTTGCAGGCCAGTTTCCGGCAGGGGACACATGAGAGGCAACCATACATTGGTATTTCTCTCCCTCTCTCTCCTTCCCTTCCCCTCTGAAGATAAATAAATAAAATCTTAAAAAAAAAAACTTGGAAATTAAAAAAAAATTCCACATTCTATTTTTTTCGGGTGTCATAATTACAGTAGACTTATTATAATGCTGTGAGTTGGAAAATGCAGAACTACTCACCAAAATAAATATGTTTTATAAGATTTAGAATATATATGGGCCTAACACATTCATATAATATTATTATTGCATGCTTTTTAAGCAGAAAATGTTGTTGTAAAAATATCCTCTTAGTTTATATAGATATTTATATATTTGGGATTGAGAACGCCTCAATTTTTTTCTTGATTTTTTTTTGAAGGAAAAAGACACCACATTATGAAAATGTTAACATCAAGAAAGATCAACAGAAAAATTTATGCTCACATCCCCCACGTTTTAATGGAATAATAAAATTGCAGGAGGAAAAAGAGGTAAGTTGAAAAGTAGCTATTTCATCTACTTTCTAGGTGTTAACATCGTTGACTCTTATTCTGACAAGATTACAGTACTCGGATCCACTGGAGCTGGTTGTCATTCAGTGAATATTGTGAGAATCTGAACCTAAACTCTCCGTCAAGTCACCACTCTCTGTGCTTGAACACCTCTCGTGGTAAAGAGCTCAGCAACCCAGAAGTTTCTTGTTTCAACAGTGGACAACTGTTGCTTACAATTTCCTTTTTATCTGCTCACTACCTACTCACTCTTTCTCTATGACTTCTTTTCAATCTCCTTTTATCTGTTCTTGTAAGCATCAATGTTCTAAATACCTTTGACTATGCTCACTATTTAACATCATAATAACTTATTTTCCATTGAAGTTATCAAGGGATCTCTTTTAGTTTGTGAAATTTTTTTTAAAAGCAAATGGTACTAGAACTAAACTAAAATTCTTGGTGTAGTCTGATTTATGCATAGTAAGATTTTCATTTTCCTTATCCTGGATCATGTATGTTTCTTGATATAAAACCTAACTTTCCATTAAATATGTTTTTTTTGTAGCTATATTTCAATTTACTCATTTGGAACTTGCAGGCAAATAAAACCCCTATTTTTTCCCCTTTAGTAAGTTATTATGCTTAAGCTTAAAAACATAAAGATTGTAGGATAACATTTAAAAATGGATCCCTTTAGAGTAAAGATACATGATTCTCAGTTGAAAAATCAGTAACTATTCTACCAAGAATTTTGTCTGCATTTGATTTCCTTGGTCCTCCTTTGAATATTAATCAGCAATAAAACACTGTTTGTAGAAATACTAGACCAATAACAGAATAATATAATATAATTTTTTCTTAGAATAACAGTTACAATTCTCATACAGGTTATTAAGTGTTAATTTAGAATCGGGAGATATACTGGTCTGTAGCATTTTTTAAACATTTTTATTTATTGATTTTGAGAGAGAGAAAGAAGAAGGAGGAGGGAGGGGAGAGAGAGACAATGATCAGTTGTTCTGCTTATTTATGCATTCATTGGTTGATTCTTGTATGTGCCCTGACCAGGAATTGAACCCACAACCTCGGCATATTGGGACTATATTATGTCCCTGGCTGGCCAGGGCTGGTCTGTAGTTTTCTTTACTTGCGATATTGTATGGTTTTGTAAGAATGGGGAATTGTAACCCACCCTACCATTGTATTTTTAAAATTTTATTTATTTTTTAGAGAGAGGGAAAGAGAAGGAAATAGAGAGGGACAGAAACATCAATGTGGAAAGAAACATCAGTCAGCTGTCTCTCATACATGCCCCAAACAGGGGCTGAACCCACAACCTAGGTATGTGTCCTGACTGGGAATTGAACAGGTGAACTTTTGCTTTGTGGGACAATGCCCAACCGACGGAACCACACCATTCCAGGCCACTCCAGCATTCTTTTGACATTGTTTCTGTAAATGCGGACTCTTACTAATAAGTAGCTTATACATAAAGAGCACATTTGTATAAGAATTCTAGGAACTAACTTTAAAAGATAACGACTCTGACCTTCAGGCATTTCCAGCTCCGGGAGGTTTGCTGACCTCCAAATATAAAACCAAGATGATATAAAGCCAGGAAGATGAAAACCATGGTGATGCACACTGAAGCATCGTTTGACCAGTTTCAGGGTCCTTATCAGAATGGACTGTGCTGGTCTACATGTAGAGAACTTTTCAGCCCCGTCCCCTTGATCTCTTTGTGCTGCTTTTCCCTCTCCCTCCTTGTAAAAACCTCTGCCTGCACTGAGATGTTAAGATGGCTCTGGAACATGAGTCTCCCATCTTCTCACACTGCAGGTATCTGAATAAACCACTTTTCTTTTCAGCAGCACCTGACTCATGAGTTTGGCTTTCATTGTGGCAGGCAGCTGGACCTGCTATCAGTTAGAGTTTTGGTGCTGGATAATGCTGGTCTCCTAGAGCGTGTTAGGAAGTATTCCCTCTGCTTTTATCCTCTAAGACAGATTGTAAATTTCTTTCTTAAATGTTTGGTAGATTTCACCAGCGAACCCATCTGGCCCTGGTTTGGGAAATTTATTAATTATTGATTAGTTTCTTTAATAGATATAGACATATTCAGATCATCTGTTTCTTTTTGTGTGAGTTTGTCAGATTGAATTTTTCATGGAATTTGTCCATTTAATCTAAGTTTTCAAATATATGGGCATAGTGTTGTTCACAATATTCATTGATTATCATTTTAGTGTTTATGAGAACTGTAATCATATCCTCTCCTTCATCTGATTTTACTAATTTGTGTCTTCTTTTTATTTTTTTTCTTAGCTTGCCTGGCTACAGAGTTATAGACTTTTATTGATTTTTTCAAAGAACTAGATTTTGGCTTCATTGATTATCTCTACTAATTTCTTGTTTTTAATTGTATTGATTTCTGCTCTAGTTTTTATTCTTTTCTTCTGCTACTTAAAAACTTTTCTGAGGTGGAAACTTAGATTTTCATATGTGTACTTTCAATGCTATAAATGATTTCAATTACATCTACTTGATTAATGGTATTACTGAATTTAACTGTCCTTATGTCTGCTTGTCTGTCCATTTCTGAGAGAGGAGTTCGAAGTTTCCAACTGTGATAATGGATTCATCTATTTCTTCTTGCAATTCTATCAGCTTTTGTTTCATATAGCTAGCTGCCCTTTTGTTAGGCATATACACACACATTAAGAATTTTTATGTCTTTTTGGAAATTTGACCTCTTTTACCCTATAACTTTTTGATGTCTGCTCTGGTCTAAAATTAGTGTAGCTATTCTTGCTTTCTTTTGATTAGTGTTAGCCTGGTATGTTTTCCCTCCATCCAGTTACTTTTAATCTATATGTGTCTGTATTTAAAGTGGGATTCTTTGTTTTGATTTTTATAAAAGTTTTTTGAGTCAAACTGATGCCAAGGAGCAAGGTCTCAAATGCTTCTGAGAATTACAGTTTTTCAGCTTCTTTTGTGCATTGGAAATTTAGGGTGGATGTAAAGAAGGTTACGTTAAGGCGGGAGAAAGCAAGGTGGGATTGGATTACAGGATAGTTAAGGTTATTTGTGGTCTTGAGGGTGGTTACATCTTAGAAGGACTCTGAAGAGATGGTTTACATAGGAGAAGGAGGGGTCTGAAAGAGACATTTCAAAGATGTGGTAGCTAGATGTGCAGAAACAATATACATGGCTTGTTTAAGGCAAAGATAAACCGTTTACTAAAAAGTTATATGCCTGAGGTAAGACAATCCACCATGACCTGCTCAGTTAGGAATTTAAGTTCAGATCACCCTCTGAGGCGACTTTCCACAGAACATCTTTTTTTTTTTTTTTTGGTCCATAGTTTCTCTTTTTGAACAGTCCAAAGGATGCATTGATGACCAATCTTTTGGTTAAGTAGTGTGGTCTCATAGCAGTCATAAAGGCTTGTTAATAGGAAGTCTCAGTGTCCATGTCATCTTGTTGGCCACTGGGGATGGGACAATATTGTAAACCTGAGATATGAGTTGTAGCCAATTTTTCCCCAAAAGAGAAAGGAAGGTAAATGGAAAGCAGTCAAGTCTTATGGCTTTCATTGACAAAAAAAAAAAAAAAAAAAGGAAGGATGGAAAGAAGGAAGAAAGAAACCCCAAAACATCAACTGAAAAACCCACTCTGGACCATTTCTGTGCTGTGAACTATTATGATCTACGTTTTGCCTTCTATCTCATGTTTTTGGTTTGGTATATTATTGACTATATGCCCTGTGCTGTACTTTACATCCCTGTGATTATTTTGTAACTACCAATTTGTGCTTCTTAATCCCTATACCTCTTTCACCCAGTCCACCAATTCCCCATCCTCTATGGCAAGTACCAGTTTACTCTCTGTGTCTATGGGTCTATTTCAATTTTATTTGCTGATTTATTTTACTCTTTAGATTCCATATATAAGTGAGATCATATTGTATTTTCTTTTTCTTACTGGCCACACAGAATGACAATAATATGAACTAGTTTGGGTAGACTCTCAATATGTGCCTATAGGTAGCTGAGGTGGAGATTTAGTGGTGATAAAAACATTACACATTTTTTGAGTTCTATTTAGAAAGCACTCATAATCATTACTATTCTACTGTTCTTACGTTATGCTGGACTTGGATGAAGGCTGGATGAACCCTGTGGTTTGCCACTTTCCTAGCTGCCACCTGGGAAATGAGGCATAGTTTTTTTTTCTGAGTCACAAAACTGTCTGGTATAAATCACTCCTTCCCACCCCCAAATTTAGCACTCAGCCTTAAGATGAGAAAGTGCAAGTCTCAGGGGCCATTCTCAAGCACACCCTTCTAAGATCTTTTGCTTTTCTTTCTACTCCCTTACCCATGAGAGCTTTCTCTAGGCAAGGAGAGAAAATGCATGGGACAAAATGGCCTCTGAAGGCCTTACCTTCTCTTGTCAATGCTTGATTCTGGATGTTAGATGATGTGAGGATATTGCCTCTTATTCTGTACATCCTTTTGTCTGAGCTGCCCAAATGCAGGTGAACAGAAATTAAGAATAGGGGAAGATATATGTGAGTGCTGCAGAATTTTCAATAGCTGTTATAAACAAAGAAAATTACTAGTAAACAGACTGAAGAAATATTTTAATCTTGGGGCCCCAGGAATGGAAAAAAGAGCAAGGAGAAGTGACCAGCTCTAAAGGTTGTGGAGAAACAACATTTTGGAGTACCTCTCCCAACATTAACAGCAGCTAATGGAAGTGTGACTTGGGAAAAGAAAGTTGATGAATTTGGTGTGGGATAGGCTGGATAGCTTTACTTTATTTCTTGGCCTCTTAAATTCAGCTGATGCATGGATTTCTAAAATAGATGATATGTAAAAATTAGCTATAGGTAATAAATCCTTGAAACTGTTTTAGAATATTCTTTATTTACATGGAGCCCGTTATTCTTTCTGTTGCTACCCTGGATCTCACTTACATTTCTGGCTTGTATCG